ATAACATGGTAGATAGCCCGTAACAACTCGCACGGGTATTCTGCTAGTAAATAGTAGTATAAACCACGAGTTGGACAGAAGCTCTGAAAACAAAGAGGCGGCTCGCTGTATAAGAGAAAGAGAATAGAAAAATGGGCAGCTCGATCAAGTGCTCCACATGGACAAAGCAAGTCACGCCACGGCGAGAACAGGAGACTTTGCTCGCGCTCCTCTTCCTCGGATGCCATCGCGCCGCGTCGCCGTGATCGGCGCGGGGGCCGCGGGCCTGGTGGCGGCGCGGGAGCTGCTGCGGGAGGGCCACTCGCCAGTCGTCTTCGAGCGCGCGGCCGGCGTCGGCGGCACCTGGCTGTACGATGGCGAGGCGTCGGCGGAGCCGCTCGGCGCCGGCGGCGTCCACGGGAGCCTCTACGCGTCCCTCCGCACCAACCTTCCCCGCGAGTGCATGGGCTTCCTCGACTTCCCCTTCGTCGCCGACGAGGACTCCGTTGACCCGCGCAGGTTCCCCGGGCACCAGGAGGTGCTCCGGTACCTCCAGGCGTTCGCTCGGTGGTTCGATCTCCACGGGCTGATCCGGCTCGAGACGGAGGTGGTCAGCGTCCGGCGCAGCGGGGACGCGAGCTGGAACGTGTCGTACTGCAGGAGGAAGCTCGCCGGCGCCGACGCTGGCGGCGAACTGCAGGAGGAGGAGGAGCAGTCGGAGGTGTTCGACGCCGTCGTCGTCTGCAACGGCCACTTCGCCGAGCCCCGCGTCGCCGAGAACGCCGGTAAGCTAGTATGCACGTAGTACTGCTCAGTGGTCGGCGAAGTTACTGGTAAAATTTTCATGACGGTCGATCCATGAACGATGTGCAGGCATAGACGGCTGGCCCGGGAAGCAGCTGCACAGCCACAGCTACCGTGTGCCCGACCAGTTCCACGGCCAAGTCAGTAGTATCATGCTGAGCGGCCTTAATTTCTTCTTAATTTTGTGATGAACTTTGCAACATGCATGTATCATATTGGTAGGTCGTGGCGATAATAGGATACAACCCCAGCGGGATGGACATCTCAAGGGACATCGGCGGCGTGGCCAAGGAGGTCCACGTCGCCATTCGAGCGGCGCCTGCCGGGATGCAGAGCACCACTGCTCATGCCAACCTGTGGCTGCATCCCATGGTATATTAATACCAACTGGTGCTAGAAAATGTCGTCGATCACGCCCAGATCCAATCCTCTAATCACATGGAGCTACGTTTTTTTTTTTCAAATGGTTGGATGCAGATCGATCGTGCCGAGGAGGACGGCAGCGTGGTGTTCCAGGACGTACAGCGGCCGGGTGAAGGCGGACGCCATCCTGCACTGCACTGGGTACAAGTACAGCTTCCCGTTCCTGGAGGATGACGAGGAGGCCGGTGTCGTCGCCGTCGACGACAACCGTGTCGGCTCGCTGTACAAGCACGTGTTCCCGCCGCGGCTGGCCCCTCGCGTCTCCTTCATCGGACTGCCATTCAAGGCGATCCCTTTCCTGGTGTTCCAGCTCCAGAGCAGCTGGGTGGCTGGGGTTCTGTCGGGGAGGATCGAACTCCCGTCGCCGAAGGAGATGATGCAGGATGTGGCGGCATTCTACACAGACATGGAGGCAGGGCCGGCCCTGGGGAGGGGCAGGGGGGGCGGCCGCCCCGGGCCCCCAAACCCCAGGGGCCCCTTCCCAGAAACGCAGTAGCCCATACAGGAAACTGCATGCCCAAGTATTTGTTTTTTTTTATTAGGCCTAGCACTAAAGAAATCTGTCATTGGGCCTGACCCAAGTAATAGAAGCTACGTAATTGGAGCGTCTAAACGAACACATTGACCAGAATCTATGAGAGCGCATCACGCCCGTGTTGAGCGCCGCCTGTTCGCCTCACGCCCAGATCGCCGCAGATGAGCTTGCTCGAGGAGTCGAGGATGAAAGAGACATATGACGCGTTTGGTTCAATTCTGGTAACATATTCAACTTTGTAATCGGATGCACTGTATTTGGTGGAGGATCGATTGACTCCCTGATTTGTTTGGTTCAGTAATGGCCGATGGGATGCTTTCTCAATTCAAAGAGGAACACCAGAAGAACACTGTCGATCCGGCCACCACGAGGAACTGCGTGCATCAGAGCCCGACGGCGTGCGGCGCTGCGTGTTCTGTAGGTATCATAAACCGTTTATTAATGTTGTTGGGCAATATTGGTCTTCTGGTATAGATCTGAAACAGATAAAAACAGGGAGTAATGTTCTAGATGGTGGTCTTGGTGAGCAGTTTTCAGAGGAACCGTGCAATGCCAGCATCAATGGGGTAATTTACTCTTACTTTGCAAATTTCCTCAAGTAGATAAGAATTACTATCTTCGTCCCGTAACATAAGACGTTTTTTGGCACTACACTAGCGTAAAAAAACGTCTTATATTATGGGACGGAGGGAGTACTTTGCACTATTGCAGTACAATTGACTTAATTTTGTAAGTGTGGAATAATATTTTCATATCGTTTATATGGATTTGCTCATCTATCTTAATTTCTCGGATACTTTTATTTAAAATAATGACCTTAGCATAGTCAGTTCAAGAACTAATCTGCATTTTACATATCTAAATTTCTTTTAGAATAATTCATGAACAAATTTCTTGTAGTCACCTGTCTGACTGTCTCGAGGATGTCTAGTCATAGATTGCTTCGTACAGTATAGCCTGACACTAAACAAAGCTTTTGCATTTTCAAGGATGTCTTGTGATAGATTTCTTCATAGGCCATTAGATATACTTGCAAAACTGTTGCAATGCGCATCCCACACGTTTATGGTTACATTTCAAATATACACATACATATTGTTAATATGACATCTATACTAAAGGGCCCCGAGATTTAGTTTCGCCCCGGGCCCCCAAAATCTCAGGACCAGCCCTGCATGGAGGCCTGTGGACGCCCTAAGAGGTTCACTCATGACCTCGGCGCAAGCATGTTCGAGTATGAGGATTGGTTGGTTGAGCGGTGCGGGCTGGAGAGGATCGAGGAGTGGAGGAAGGCGATCTATGTCGCGGCCAGAGGCAGGGTGAGGGACCGGCCCGAGAGTTATCGAGACGAGTGGGACGACGATGCCCAACTGCTAGAACAAGCGCACCGTGATCTCGCCACGTACCTCTGATGTACGCTCTTATATTTGTTTTACGGATGGAGCATATGATTCTTCAATCTTCTCCACAACGGTAATAACTTTTTGTGCCTGACATCAAGATTTGAGTGATGAAGTGAGTGCAAAAGCAGAAATAGGACACACAAATATGAAGAGAAAAAAAATAGAGAATGCACCAGCCGGGAATCGAACCCGGGTCTGTACCGTGGCAGGGTACTATTCTACCACTAGACCACTGGTGCTTTGATGAGTGATTTATTTGAACATTCCACTAGCAAACCTTTTTGGAGAAAAAAATATAAATAGGTACCCACTTTGATGAGTCCATTTACATCCTTCAACACATTATGCTGCCGGAAAGAAGAAAAGGATCCTAAACCAAATCATGGAACTCGATCTTGAGGTGAGCAAGGAAACCTGTAGACCACAATGCATTTGTTTTTCACTTCTCTTCGTGGCCATACACATAAAAAACAGAGGTCCAAATGATAAAGATCAATTACAAAATTCTGCATAGGGACAGAAGAAAACTTTGAAGATCAAAGAGCAGCAATCTGTGCTCGCATCGTAGATATGGTAGCTATCCTGTAGACATAATTCTGTCCACGGATGGGGGACATAGATTCGACAGATAGCTGGTTGAGGATGCCAAACATGGGTGCAATGCTTGGCTGTGTAACAAATTCTTTTCGATTTTGGTTCTAGTTTCACTTTTTCTTTCTTTGGGTTAGTTATAAAAATGAAAAACGAAGGCAACTATATACAACACAAAAGTGAATGCAATCTTGCATATGGCAATAATTTCTATGAAAGATATATGATACTCTTCACAATATATAGGACATTTTTGCGAACCAGATCTTGCTTACTCCGTTCAAAATCAAAAGGGATTGAACAAACAGCAATAGAAATAACATGCATAGAAGGAAGTGGGAATTCATGCTGTTTCCTGTTGAAAAAATAGCAATTGAACAAACAGCAATAGAAATAGCATGCGTAGAAGCAACCATATCTTGTTTCCTGTTGTGCCCCTGCATTGGAACGAAAATGAACATATGAAGATCAAATATAAGAATTCATTTCCCCAAAAAAAAAAAAGAATTCAATTCACATAAATTAACATCCAAATCCTCTGTTTCCAAACATAAGACATCTTGGCAGTTGCCAAGAATTTAGGAACACAGGTAGTACTATACAGTATATGGAACTGTTCGACTGAAAATTATACACGCTTCCAGATACAACATCTTTCAACAAAATTACAATAACTAGCAAGTAATAAGGGTATTTTTCCTTTGCTGCGCTAATTTAGAAGGCCGTCACTAAAAATTGACAAGGGTCAATGTCAAGCTCCTTTTCATACCAAACATGTATAGGAGGTTAAAATGCACCAAACTTCAGAAACATGATCTTACAACTGACTTGAATGATTCCACTGACAGGAAAATGGCTCAAACAAATATCTGAGATGCAATCTTTATATCATCCAGCACAAAGGAGCTTGTTGTGCATAGACTAATACTGAGTAGAAATAGAGGGTCTCAAAAAACAGTGTTTCACGACTGCACTTACTTCATGTGTCAATGATTCCAAAATAACATATCTGGTGCAGGCTTTTTGTATTTGGAAATAAGAATTTTTTTATCTAGCATCCAGTAATTTTATATATGGCCCTTCATAATTTTGAGATACAAATTTTCAGTTTAGAATGGTACAAATTCCATGCATGAATGAGTTTCTGACCTTCTAAACTATGCACACTTATAGAAAATTGAACTTGTAAGTTTGGGCAAGAAATTCCAGAAGAATTCGCCACAGCAAACTGAACCTGCAAGACAACCCATACATATGAACCCTGTTCAAAGTTTTGCACTGTCCAGATTTTGGTCCTTCGGACCATGGTACCATGTATGCAGCTTCAAACTGTAAAAACAAGAATAATAACAAGATTTAGGTCTAGATTTCAACCATCTTTTTTCTAGATAACAGAATATTCAGTTAGAGTCAGCATGAGTACAATAACCCTGAAAAAGGTAACTAAGAGGAACTGTCCAGTAGTAGACAAATAACAAGAATCATCCAGTGGAATTGGTCCACAGCAACATCCATCCTACCCATTCTGCAAAAAGAGCATCAGAGTCCAAAGGCAGGCTGTATGATGATATAAGAAAATTCAACCAAGTGACCGAGATGAGATGACGCTCTGCTTCAAACTGACTGTCGGCTCACTTATAACTTTAAGCAAGGCTTATTCTTTCACTCGGGTATGCACAACCATCGGGTTGAGTTTATCCAGAGCATCAGCCGTCTTACGCATTGTGCAAGAGGGTAGCAGCTACCACAGCTGGACGGCGGGATGGATGGATGCTCTCTACAAACTCAACGAGAAAATTGGCTCCCAGCTTCAAACTGATTATCGGCTGATTTAGCTCTAAGCGAGGCTCCTTCTTTCAATTGGTATGCACAACCATCCGGTTGAATTTATCAATAGCACCAGCGCCAAAAGGCAGCAACTACTACCACCAGAGTTGAATGGCCGGTGCTGATGCTATGGAAAAATTCAACCAGAGGATTGGCTCCCTGCTTGACTTACGACCGACGGGGGTATGTCACCAACATCAGGTTGAAGCTATCCATAGCACTAGCCACCTACCCACCGTTGGGCAGCATCAGCCACCATTGAATGGTAGGATGGATGATGCTATGGACAAATTCAACCAGAGGATTTTCAGTTCTACTGATACATAGTGGAGCTTTCTGACCTTCTAAAGAATTTTCAGTTCAGAATCGTACAAATCCCATACATAGTGGAGCTTTCTGACCTTCTAAAGCTTGCACACTTACAAAACTAAGATGCGCAGAAGACCGCAGGTTAGCTGCAAAAAATTCTAGCAGAACTCAAAAGACAAAACACAAAAGACAACCAAAACACATGAACCATGTCACAGGACATTGTACAGACACCTTAAACACCAGGGAAATTCTACTACTTTCAATCCAATAGACTCCTCCCCTCTTCATCACCTTTGCACTGTCCAGATCTTGGTACCTGGGACAATGGATGCAGATTATAACTGCAAAAACAAGGAGTTCATTAGGTCTAGATTTTATAACTTGTTTAAAACTAGAGTCAGGATGAGTCCAACAACCATCCATAAATCAGGCAACTACTGCATTCGGGTGTACACAAATATGAATCATCCGATGGAATACATCCGTCCTACGCAGTATGCAAAAGGAGTATCAAAGTCTATTGGCACTTCTTTTGTGGATAATAGAATATTTAGTTAGAGCAAGGCAGATTCAAATTAGAATACATAACACTTAATCAGGCAACCAAAGGGAACTGCGTCCAATTATACGTCCAGAGCAAACATCCATCTTACCCTTTCTGCAAGCAAAAGGAGTCTATCAGAGTCGATGGCAGGTTGTATGATGCAGAAAAACTCAGCAAGGATCCTTCTTTCAATTGGGATGCCAACCATCTGGTCGAATTTACCCATAGCACCAGCCATTGTACACATCGCGCAAAAGGGCAGCGGCTACCTCGGTAGAACAGCAAGATGGATGATGCTATGGACAAGTTCAACCAGAGGATTGGCTCCCCGCAGTCGACGATGGACCGGTTCGGCCGCCACCAGGGCACTCTAATCCCACCGGCCTGGATGTGCGCGGGAGCAAAGCTTCTTCTTTCAATCGGGTATGTCACAACCATTCGGTTGAATCTATCCATAGCACCAGCGCCGAAAGGCAGCAACCACTACCACCGCCCGCAGTTGAACGGCCGATGCTGATGCTATGTTCAAATTCAACCAGAGGATTGGCTCCCTGCTTGACTCACGACGGACGGGGGTGTGGCACGAACAATCGGGTTGAAGCTACCCATAGCACCGGCCATCCTACCCACCGTGGGGCAGCAGCTGTCGCCGTTGAATGGTAGGATGGATGATGCTATGGACAATTTCAACCAGAGGACTTTCTTCTCTATGCCTTATTACTTGGGCGGTGGCGGAGGGCGGCGGCGCGCTGCCGTCCAGAGCGCGCCCGGGCATCGGAGCGGGCTGGTTCGGCCGTCGGGCGAACAGGTGGTGCGCGTCCGCCGGGAAGGGCGCCGTCCGTGGCGTGGGGGCCGTCGGGGCGTAAGAGAGAGGGCGGACGAACCTCGACCCGCTGCAACCCGTCGTCGCAGCCGCCGGCGAACAACACGGCGCGCTGCCTGAATCTGAATGCGCGCGGGCGGCCGCCGCCCTCCTCTCGTGGCGTGGAGCTCTCGGGTTAGGGTTAGGGTTTGTGGGATGGGCGCTGCCATATATATGCACGGCGCCGCTCACCCCCGTCCCGTCTCAACAACCCTCGCGTTTTGGAATGACGGCCCAACAGCCCACGCGCACTCGTTCCCTTTTTCTTTTCTTCTGTTGAGGCATTCGTGCACTGGTTTATCATCATAATCATCGTTTTCACGTATTTTGAAACACCTTGCCTAACAAAAAAACGTATTTTGAAACATCTTGGTGTAGTTAACAAATGTTCACATATATTTCAAAACACCATTTAAATAAAGCATTTTTCAAAAAATTAAAATAAAGTGTTCGTGTAATTTTAAAAGTGTGCACTCACTTTCTAAGATGTTCATGTAATTAAAAACAATGTTCGCATGTATAAAATATGTTCATTACATTTACAAAAAAATCATGTATTAACAAAATGCATGTATTTGCATAAAATGTTTTCTTTGTAATGTAATAAAATTGTCATGCTTTAAAACATATGTTCATACAATTTCAAAAATGGCCATGTATATTTCTGGCCTGCAACAGTAGAGCATTGCCCACATACAATAAAATTGTATGGAAACCAATCTGTACATTGTGGCCTAGGGCAAGCCAAATCTAGCTAAAAAATTAAAAGGGCATGGTACATGTCCGCCGGCTCATCTTTTTGAAAAGATCGGCCAGCTTGCGGGCTGTCTGATATGGCATATCAGAGGTCTTGTTGTAGAATTTTTTATTTTTTGCAACCCGGATTTTGTTGCAAATTTTTTTGTCATCTCCACCTTTTTGCAACATAACTGATGTTACGGGAGAAACTTCTGCAACATTGGTGATGTTGCAGAAGTTCCAAAAGAATCATCAGGAGCCAAGAGCATGTCTCGTGGGATACGTGTTGTGCGAGTGAGGCGGCGGATGGGAGCCAGAAAATTAGCCAGTTGAGGGGAATCATTTCCTAAAAGAAAACACATGTAAACATAAAAAGGAAAAACTAGATAATTACAACTTTGTACTAGGCCATAATTTGAACTGAGGGGCCATTTTCTTCTTGATTAAATATCAAACCAAAGTGAGCTCCCTTATACAGTCAAACTGGTTTGTGCAATTTAAAATGCTATGGAGAAGATGCCCTCCCTAGCTCAACCCATGGTTCGTTAGGATCCCCTTACGTGAATTACCGATCCTCTTTGTGATATTTTTGGATCCAATGTTCTTGGTTTCCTCGGCGGCCAACAATGGGGATTGGTTTGTCTTTATTATGTGTTTCCCTTTTCGTTTTTGGTTACAGTTCGGTTCCTTTCCTTTGTGCTTTTGTCTCAGCTTTTCTGTTTTCTTTCGGTTTTTAATCCTTCTTTCTATGTTTCCTTTTTCTTTATTTGTATTTATCTACCTTTTTATTTTATAATTAGTTGTTGCACAGTAAATATTTTCCCAAATGTATGAGGAACACTCTTCAATACACTAGGAACATCTTGTCAAATTTTCATAATACATTTATTCAATATTTGAACTTCTTTTAACAATATTTTGATGAGCATATTCTCGGATTTCTTTTCTATTTGTTCACAAAATTTCTTAACCTTTTAATATAATTTTAGTGGAAAAAAAGGGCGACGTAAATGGGCCACTCCACTTTTGGTTCATATAGGCTTTGTCGTATTGAGCGACGAATAAGAGGACTCAATGCTATCTTAGCTAATGTAGTTTTTTTTTTACCCTGCCTTGGCTAATGTACCTCATAGGGCCTCGGGTATTGAGTTTGTTTTAGTTTGCATGTATGGTGATCCACAACACCGTTAAACCAAGGCTGTCCGGGATTAGGTTGTGAATTTATTGACAAATGATATCCTATATCTAGGCAAGCCGATGACATGTACGGGCGACATGAATGATATCCTATATCATATTGACAAATGCAATGCTAACGTAAATTATTATCGTATGTCGGCCTTCAATGCCTTGATTAAGAACTGTGGTTTCTTTGACATTGGTTATAGTGGGCCAGCTTATACTTGGCGCAATAGTAAAATGCAAACAATGATGCCATGTTTAGGACTTGAGCCTGATGGTTTAGTTTCACCACAAAAAACACAAAGTTAAGTTACGAGTTCAAAATTATCCTCATAGTTACAGGAGGCTGTAATAAGACTGTGGAAGATAGAGCATGCATGTCGTGAGAGAAACCACTCACGGGATTTCAGATAGGACTGACACCTAGCTGTTGGGGAACGTTGCAGAAAATTAAAATTTTTCCTACGGTTTCACCAAGATCCATCTATGAGTTCATCTAAGCAACGAGTCTAGGGAGAGAGTTTGCATCTACATACCACTTGTAGATCGCGTGCGGAAGCTTGCAAGGTGATGATGTAGTCGTACTCGACGTGATCCAAATCACCGATGACCAGCGCCGAACGGACGGCACCTCCGCGTTCAACACACGTACGGGACGGGAGACGTCTCCTCCTTCTTGATCCAGCAAGGGGGAAGGAGAGGTTGATGAAGATCCAGCAGCACGACGGCGTGGTGGTGGATGCAGGGCGTCACAGCAGCAGGGCTTCGCCGAGACTACGAGGGAGAGACGTAACGGGGGGAGGTGGAGGCGCCAGGGGCTGGTGTGTGGAGGCCCTCCTCTCCCCCACTATATATAGGGGTGCCAAGGGGGGGGCGCCGGCCCTAGTAGATGAGATCTACTAGGGGGGGCGGCGGCCTAGGGGAGGTTTCCCTCCCCCCCCAAGGCACCTAGGGGTGCCTTCCACCACTAGGACTCCTCCTAGGGGGAAACCCTAGGCGCATGGGCCTATAGGGGCTGGTGCCCTTGGCCCATGATGGCCAAGGCGCACCCCCTACAGCCCATGTGGCCCCCCGGGACAGGTGGTCCCACCCGGTGGACCCCCGGGACCCTTCCGGTGGTCCCGGTACAATACCGATAACCCCGAAACTTGTCCCGGTGCCCGAAATAGCACTTCCTATATATAATTCTTTACCTCCGGACCATTCCGGAACTCCTCGTGACGTCCGGGATCTCATCCGGGACTCCGAACAACATTCGGGTTTCTGCATATACATATCTTCATAACCCTAGCGTCACCGAACCTTAAGTGTGTAGACCCTACGGGTTCGGGAGACATGTAGACATGACCGAGACGCTCTCAGTCAATAACCATCAGCGGGATCTGGATACCCATGATGGCTCCCACATGCTCCTCGATGTTGTCATCGGATGAACCATGATGTCGAGGATTCGATCAAACCCTGTATGCAATTCCCTTTGTCAATCGGTACGTTACTTGCCCGAGACTCGATCGTCGGTATCCTAATACCTTATTCAGTCTCGTTACCGGCAAGTCACTTTACTCGTACCGTAATGCATGATCCCGTGTCCAACACCTTGGTCACATTGAGCTCAATATGATGATGCATTACCGAGTGGGCCCAGAGATACCTCTCCGTCATACGGAGTGAAAAATCCCAGTCTCGATTCGTGTCAACCCAACAGCTACTTTCGGAGATACCTGTAATGTACCTTTATAGTCACCCAGTTACGTTGTGACGTTTGATACACCCAAGGCACTCTTACGGTATCCGGGAGTTACACGATCTCATGATCGAAGGAAGAGATACTTGACACTTGCAAAGCTCTAGCAAAACGAACTACACGATCTTTTATGCTATGCTTAGGATTGGGTCTTGTCCATCACATCATTCTCCTAATGATGTGATCCCGTTATCAACGACATCCAATGTCCATAGTCAGGAAACCATGACTATCTGTTGATCACAACGAGCTGGTCAACTAGAGGCTTACCAGGGACATAGTGTGGTCTAAGTATTCACACGTGTATTACGATTTCCGGATAATACAGTTATAGCATGAATAAAAGACAATTATCATGAACAATGAAATATAATAATACTTTTATTATTGCCTCTAGGGCATATTTCCAACACTAGGAGGAAAATTGTCATATTCTTTTGAATTATCTGTTCATGCTATGCTTTCTAGATTCGTCGTACAATATTATTTAGCGGTACTAGAAATACTTCTCGTTCACCAAGTTGGCATTAGAAGTCCCCTCATGGAAACAAGCATGTGTATCTTTTGTTTTCGTCTTCTCTTCCACATTAAGAGTGCCAATGAAAATTGAAAACAGAAACTTGTTGTCTCCCGTGCTTCAGAAAAGTAGCAAAATTCCTCGACGAACGATGAAGCTTGACAATTAAAACCTCTTGACAATAAACTTGTCCGG